ATACATTTTCTCTGACACCCAAAAGTACTTGTTACATTTAGAATGCTTAGCAGGACAGAAAATTGTCTAATTCACACACTTATCAAGAGAAAATCCCTGGTCATCCCTACTGCGTCTGATCTGACACTCAGTAAACACATGCTTCATTTGTAAATGATGTCTGAGTGTTGGAGCGTGCCCCTGGCTATCCGTCAATAAAAAAATAAAAAAATAATTGGTGCCGCCTGGTTTGCTTAATATAAGGAAATTGAAAGGATTTATACTTTAACTTTAACTTTTGATACTTAAGTATGTTTTAGCAATTAGATTTACTTTTGATACTTAAGTATATTTAAAACTAAATACTTTTAGACTTTTACTCAAGTAGGATTTTACTGGGTGACTTTCACTTTTACTTGAGTCATTTTCTGTTAAGTTATCTTTACTTTTACCACCACTGCTGGTGACATCACCATGCGATACATTAGTTAATAGAACAATAAGAAAGAGAGTTCCAAACCTCTCTGCCAATAACAGCTAGTTTCAGTTTTCCCCTCCCCACTCCCAGATAGTCCTCCCAAAATTATTGCTTGAGAAATTGCTCTTTGGTAAGAAGCTATTTTTGATCCTTTTTGGCCATTTTAATTGAAAACAATCACAGTAAGGTACTTATTTGTTACCCGCAAAAGACCCGATATTGAGATAAAAACGGCTGCATTGGACCTTTAATACTTACAGATACAGCAGCAAGGCTATTTGTGGAGGTAACAGTGGGTTTCATCAGCAGGTGCTAATGAAGTTTTTGTCTAAATATGACCATGAATCTGACACAGAAGAGTGTTGAGCTCAGCTATTGAATGGGCTGGGAGAATGTGTGTGTGTCGTGCGTTCATGTGTGAGTGTTATTTGGACGCAGCTGGATTCCTTCTGGACTCATTGACACTCTCTTCCTGTACCTCAAGTATCACATAACCGACTTATGTTTTGAATGTATATGTCATACAACTCATCACTTTTATATCACTATTTTTGTTTTTATTGCACACACATTGTAAAATGGATCAAATGAATTACACAACCTTTTCAGACTTTAAAGGGAAAAAGATAACAAAAATAGCTAGTGCAGATACAGTACAAACCATGCAAGACCTACAGTCACCACCTCTGGGATGAATCATTTCTCAAAGCATATTTAGTGTAGTTCTATTCTAAAATGTAGGAAGTGCATAACACAGCATTGTGTTCATATTGAGTATCGAGACAATTGAGATACAATTACAAATACAAATGGAGACAATCACTACAGTTTTGATTTTGAGGTAATAGGCTAGTGCAGATGGAGAGAAAAATCTTAGCCTAAATATTTTTAAAAGGAACTTTTACTTATAATCCAGGAGCATCAAAATAATTATTGATTTTTGTCTGTAATGTATACATTAATTTAATAGCATCAGAGTAAATACTATATTTCCAATACCTTTTCAGACATGACCAAAGATTTGGTTTTTAAAGGGCAAACCATTAATTACACACAGCCTTCCTCAAGCAATACGATTGATATATTTAAGAAGACAATTGTTCTTTCATGTTTAAGTTAATAACAGTGAATTGTTAAAGCACATCCAGTTGTCAGAAGATATGTTATATTAATATAAATAGACTATATCACCACTTTTCTACAGATATCTGGAGAGCACCCATTGAACACTGCTGGACAAGATACTTTCATTATTTTATTTTTTTAAATAGTTAATGTTTCATATAGCCTACATCCCTAAGAACTAGGCCTAACAATCGCAAAACGTTATAACACCAAGAACGAAAAAATACGAATACAAACTTCAGAGAGAGAGTTTAGCCTGTGTGTAAAAGTAGCCTAAAAGGTGATGCAAAATCTCGCAATAACAACCTAGACCCTGTTAATTAGTTTAACAGATACCAAATAGTTTGTTATTTTAACGACATTATTCATCCTTATGAAACTATCTTACTGCAATAATTAAAATACAGCATCATTTTCTCAATCTCTCTCTCATCTTGTGATGTATTAAAATACAAAATAAAATACTAAGAAATGTTATCAAAGGAATATAGATTTTTTTTAATGATCTGAATGCACCAGAAATATTGACCATTAATTTGTCGTGAAATAATACAACATTATTATAGGTTATTGCACTGAAGAAGAAAAAATGGTGAGTGGCGTTTTTAGTGATACGTTTAGATGAAATTGGACAATAAAGCGTGATTGGCAATTATTTAAAAACGGATGATTAAATTAAAAAATATATTTCCAAAGACAGATAGGCCTATTTGGGAAATAGCAAACTCACATACATTATTTGAATCAATTTCGCAGCATTAGTAGACAGATATAATCCATAAAGAGAAACAGGTTTTTAATTTAATAGAGAATTAAAGGTGGTCATTTCCCTGCATCCCAAGAAAGATTGGTGTTGAGGGAGCTCGTGGGGCTGCTTGGAGGAAAATAATTAGGGAACTCCGCGCACAAACTCCCCAAGCAATCCGATGGTCCATTTTTTCTGGAGTAAATGTGTCCGGCTGGAGATGCCGTGGATGAGGGGTACTCCTCCTGGCACCATGTATTGAATGTCGCCGGGTGGGGTACCTGGTGATGCGAATAAAAAGAACTCGCTTGTCCAGAGAGCAGGTTAAAGCAACAAGGGTTTGGAGGAGACAAAGTGCATGGCAACGACGAAGAGGTGAATATTGTGGCTGCGCTCATTTGGTGATGGCGACGGTATTGCGCGCCTGCACCCATGTCAAAATAAGACGACTCTTGGTTTGTTTGGAGGAGTCGGTCTGCTCCAGCATTTATGGCACTCATGTGGTGTGACCGTTGAGAAAAGATCGAGGTGGCATAGTTGGAGTGATGGGGCCCTACATATGACCCTGTGCCCGGGTGTGAGTGCGCAGGAGGTTGAAGGTTTAGAAACGATGGCACCGGCCAATAAAAGGACCCAGTGAACGCCAGCCCGGCGGCAGTGGTGGAGGTCAAACGGGCACTCCGTTTTATTGCCAGCTTTGCCCGGGTGCCCGCCGTGGAACGGCGCCGGAGTTTACCTGTTGTGCCCCCTATGAACACGTCCTCGCTTGAAGGGTCAAGCATCCAGTAGTTGCCTTTGCCTGGGTCATCATAATGGCGAGGTACTTTGAGAAAGCACTTGTTCAAACTCAGGTTATGTCGGATTGAATTCTGCCATCCTTGCCTATTTTCTCGATAGTAAGGGAAGTTATTCATGATGAACTCGTAAATGCCGTTGAGGGTAAGTCTTCGCTCCGGGCTCTGGCGAATAGCCATCATTATCAGTGCGTTATAGCTGAAAGGAGGTTTATCCGGTTTACCTTTTCCCTCTACTACTACACATGTCTTGACCTCTCCCACTCCCTCTGTATCTGCTCCGTCTTCCCTTTCTCCATTTCTGGAGACTCGTTCGTCCTCTTTCGCTGAGTACTCTTTATTATCACAGTTTTTGTCTCTATGTAGATCATATTTTCCATCTTGAGCACAAACTTCTTTAGGCCTAGTAGATGGCCCAGAATAAATGTGTTTTCTGGAAAGGGTCCCATCCAGCGCGGTGCCGTCATCACTCATCACTCCCTCTCGTCGAAACAGCAGGCTGCTGATGTTGAATGAAGACTTGTGGAAAAATCTGACGGGGGCTTTCAAATCCATGTTCAACTTCCCACGGTGTCTGGCAGTCTGAAGAGAAGGAATGTCTAAATCCACCAAATAATACGCACGTCTTCTTGGGGTGCCAAAGACAAAATGCGCCACTCGTGCATAAACTCCTGCTCAACAATCCTGATGCAAACACGCATAGTCACACAAGCCGTATACTACAAACTTTGCGATTAGATTAGTGCGATGAACTCCCAGGTTCAATTATAACACTTCCGAGGAGCGTGAAACTCAACTCTCTCAGCTGCGTCTCGCACTCTGGGACCGCCTCTCTCCACCCCCTTCCGTCAGTTTACACAATAACCTGGCAAACAGCCCATCAAATACGAATTAGGAGAATGTGTGTAAGTAATTCAGGAGTAGGTAAACTCGTAAAGTAAGTACACAAACTGAGAACTTAAAAGATAAATAGTTGCGGTGCCGCTTGTGTAGCCTAGACGTCTGCCTGGAGAGCATACGGCTTCTTGCACAACAGTTGACAGGTAAGATGCGTTGCAACATCAAGGCGCACAATATGAAGAAGCATTTTATGTTTAACCTTTTCCTCTCTTTTCTCAATTTGATATGGGGTCCCCCTTAATTCTCCATTATGCAATACAAGTGCACACTTGTTGGGAATGTTGCGCCTTTACGCATGGCTTACAATGTTGAAATGCTTACAGGTAGGCCTATACGGTTTTCTCCCTTTGACAAATTATGTTTTATTTGATTGTTTTGTGATTTGAGAAGCCATTTCAATTAATCCCAAAAGCTTCAACTCATCCGGAACAACACAGCAAGTCAGGACAAGATAATATTTTGGCCACCCAAAATTGAAATCCCATCCAGTTTTCTGTCAATAGTTTGTACTTGTTCAGCAGCATATGTTTTGAATGTACTCTCTTAATGTAAGGTACACTTACACCCTTCTCAGTTCTTATTTCCTAGAACACCTTATAGCAGCACACTCATAGAAAAAGGAACATAATGGTATGTGGACAATTTTATGTGAATACCAAAATAAATAACGTTTAGTCTAATCTCAACTACACAGCTGATTCAAATAATCAAAGCTCGATGATTAGTTGGTTATTTGAATCAGCTGTGTAGTGCTAGGGCAAAAACCAAAACGTGCACCCAGGGGGGCCCCAGGACAGAGTTTGGGAAACCCTGTTATAGGCCATGGCTTCGATAAAGTGTCTTTGCCCCATCTAGTGGTTTAAAAACACACAAGGAAGTACCCAAAATTTTCAGTGTGCTGTTCAGGGTAATCTCTTCCGCTAGCCGACTCTCTCTGTCGAACCAGTAGCAATTGAGCCTATGGACAAGGTTATGTTCAGGGAAATTTGAGATGTTTTAGTGCAGTATATAGTCTCTCCCCAGGACATTCGGTGTCCCCCAAGTCTCTATGCCCAAGCAGGGTAAATCCAGGGTGCAAATTCCCCTGGGAAACCCCACACTGCAGAAGCTGATTAACAGATGACAGGGCTGCTAGACTGGGGCTCTGATCTGAAACAGAGAAGCGGAACCCATTGGTACCAATGCCTTACACACTGTAATGACTTGGAGATGGAAAGTCCAAATTGTGTTTCTTACTGTTGAAGTTGCCCATGAAGGCAATGCCCAAAGAGTCACAGTTATTGCCCTTGGTATGTGCGCCCACAACACCCCAGCCACGGCCCTTATACACTGTGCCATCTCCCCCAATAAGAAAGCTGCAAATGCAAGAAAACACAGTTATTTGCATATAGTATTGTCCTGACACAATGAATGATAGAAAACACTAGGAAAGGAGAGGTCACTCACTTGTATCCAATGTCATCAAAGTTCCTATCCTGCATATGCATTGTCTGTATGTGGATGAGCTGGTCCATACATTCTCGGATACCCCCGCAATGCAACAGTGCCGTGTGGTGTATGACAACTCTTTCAGCCGGACACTTGAGGGTCTCCCGGCATCGAGGGGCTGCTGCTCCCCACTGTTCCCGAGTAACCACCTCTACTGAAATGCATGCATATGGGTAACAAACCACAGTAAATCTGTGGTGTACCATATCCAAACTGTAGACGTAACAATTCACTTTCGTTTACCCATTCATAACACAGTATAATACCTAGATCTCAAAGCATTATCAGACAGCTTCATCATTACCGTTCGACAGAACTCATAGGTACTTCCTTACCAGTGACTCTTTCATCCATGTATTATACTATCCAGACTTGCTTTTGATTTCGTCGCTAGTAAATCTGTGGTGTACCATATCCAAACTGTAGACCTAACAATTCACCTTCATGTACCCATTCATAACACAGTATAATACCTAGATCTCAAAGCATTATCAGAAAGCTTCATCATTACCGTTCGACAGAACTCATAGGTACTTCCTTACCAGTGACTCTTTCATCCATTTATTATACTATCCGGACTTGCTTTTGATTTCTTCGCTAGAGGCCACTGAAAAGAGGCAGTTTCCTTGATGTTCTTCAGAATAAGTGACTTGTTAACAACATATTGTTAAAGGGGATATGGACTGTGTTTCTCCAGCGGGTTAGTACATGTTCCGCATACTTTCCTTTCACGTGCACGCCAATCATATTAGTCATGCTTTTCTCAATGACACCGCAACTCTCAGTGGGTCTAAAACTAATTGAAAAATACACACATTGGGAAATACACTGCTGTGGCCAAACAGATAGGCCTAGACAAAAAAAAAGGGAAGTCGAAGCTACACCACTAAAGAGGAACATCTCACATTCCCAGTTATAAAACACAATACTTTTTTTTAACCTTCTCTATTTCAGTTCTTTTTTGGGGGTGGCAAGTATTGCAACAGAGATCGGTTCACACGAGTGTAACCATGGTAATTTAGGAAATATTTTAATCTATACAACAGTGGCATTCAAAGTTTTAGAGAAGTCTTTCAATCAAGTTTTTGAAAGAAATCTGAAGCATTTCAGAAAAGTTTGTCTTTTTTAATTTTTCAGTTCTAAAAAAACAAACAAGGCAAATACCTGTAAAAAGTACTAGATTTAATACATTATTAACACAATTGTCCCAACAGTTAGGTGTTCCTCCACAACAAGGTAATAAATGGGATTTAAGTGGTCCATACAAATCTTAGCAGTTCCTCAACCTACACTCCAACAAGATGATGAAGAACGAACACAAAAAGTTAGTATTCCTGTTAAATAAAGTTTTCGATTTGGCAGGGTATTTTAGACCCACATAAGGAAAAGGGGGATACGTATTCAATTGTACAACTGAATGCATTCAACTGAAATGTGTCTTCCGCATTTAACCCAACCCCTCTGAATCAGCCATCAGTCATTCTGATTTAAGCCACAGTGAACCCCAGTGAGACATTGTGGCCTGTTGGGTGACAGCAGAGACTGTGGATGCATACATCAGACCTCCTCTTCCTTCTCCTCCTCCTCACTCCGTCCAGCGGTGTCCACAGTGAGGGGCCGTGCAGACATAGTACAGCCTCATGGCATCCTACATAGAAAATCTTTAGAACTCTAGTATTTCTAAATTCAGCAACTCTTTTTTATTTATTTATTTATTTCACCTTTATTTAACCAGGTAAGCCAGTTGAGAACAAGTTCTCATTTACAACTGCGACCTGGCCAAGATAAAGCAAAGCAGTGCGATAAAAACAACACAGAGTTACATATGGGGTAAAAAACATAAAGTCAAAAATACAACAGAAAATATATATACAGTGTGTGCAAATGTAGCAAGTTATGGAGGTAAGGCAATAAATAGGCTATAGTGCAAAATAATTACAATAGTATTAACACTGGAATGCTAGATGTGCAAGAGATTATGTGCAAATAGAGATACTGGGGTGCAAAAGAGCAAAATAAATAACAATATAGGGATGAGGTAGTTGGGTGGGCTAATTTCAGATGGGCTGTGTACAGGTGCAGTGATCGGTAAGGTGCTCTGACAACTGATGCTTAAAGTTAGTGAGGGAGATAAGAGTCTCCAGCTTCAGAGATTTTTGCAATTCGTTCCAGTCATTGGCAGCAGAGAACTGGAAGGAATGGCGGCCAAAGGAGGTGTTGGCTTTGGGAATGACCAGTGAGATATACCTGCTGGAGCGCAGACTACGGGTGGGTGCTGCTATGGTGATCAATGAGCTAAGATAAGGCGGGGATTTGCCTAGCAGTGATTTATAGATGGCCTGGAGCCAGTGGGTTTGACGACGAACATGTAGTGCGGACCAGCCAACAAGAGCGTACAGGTCACAGTGGTGGGTAGCGTATGGGGCTTTGGAGACAAAACGGATGGCACTGTGATAGACTACATCCAATTTGTGTGTGTTGGAGGCTATTTTGTAAATGACATCGCCGAAGTCAAGGATCGGTAGGATAGTCAGTTTTACGAGGGCATGTTTGGCAGCATGAGTGAAGGAGGCTTTGTTGCGAAATAGGAAGCCGATTCTAGATTTAACTTTGGATTGGAGATTCTTTATGTGAGTCTGGAAGGAGAGTTTACAGTCTAACCAGACACCTAGGTATTTGTAGTTGTCCACATACTCTAGGTCAGACCCGTCAAGAGTGGTGATTCTAGTCGGGTGGGCGGGTGCCAGCAGCGTTCGATTGAAAAGCATGCATTTAGTTTTACTAGTGTTTAAGAGCAGTTGGAGGCTACTGAAGGAGTGTTGTATGGCATTGAAGCTCGTTTGGAGGTTTGTTAACACAGTGTCCAATGAAGGGCCAGATGTATACAAAATGGTGTCGTCTGCGTAGAGGTGGATCTGAGAGTCACCAGCAGCAAGAGCGACATCATTGATATACACGGAGAAAAGTGTCGGCCCAAGAATTGAACCCTGTGGCACCCCCATAGAGACTTCCATAGGTCCAGACAACAGGCCCTCCGATTTGACACACTGAACTCTATCTGAGAAGTAGTTGGTGAACCAGGCGAGGCAGTCATTTGAGAAACCAAGGCTATTTAGTCTGCCAATAAGAATGCGGTGGTTGACAGAGTCGAAAGCCTTGGCCAGGTCGATGAAGACGGCTGCACAGTACTGTCTATTATCAATCACGGTTATAATATCGTTTAGGACCTTGAGCGTGGCTGAAGTGCACCCATGACCAGCTCGGAAACCGGATTGCATAGCGGAGAAGGTACGGTGGTATTCGAAATGGTCGGTGATCTGTTTGTTAACTTGGCTTTCAAATACTTTCGAAAGGCAGGGCAGGATGGATATAGGTCTGTAGCAGTTTGGATCTAGAGTGTCACCCCCTTTGAAGAGGGGGATGACCGCGGCAGCTTTCCAATCTCTGGGGATCTCAGACGTTATGAAAGAGAGGTTGAACAGACTAGTAATAGGGGTTGCGACAATTTCGGCGGCTAGTTTTAGAAAGAAAGGGTCCAGATTGTCTAGCCCAGCTGATTTGTAGGGGTCCAGATTTTGCAGCTCTTTCAAAACGTCTGCTGTCTGAATTTGTGTGAAGGAGAAGCGGGGGGGGCATGGGCAAGTTTCAGCGGAGGGTGCAGAGTTGGTGGCCGGGGTAGTGGTAGCCAGATGGAAAGCATGGCCAGCTGTAGCAAAATGCTTGTTGAAATTCTCGATTATTGTAGATTTATCGGTGGTGATAGTGTTTCCTAGCCTCAGTGCAGTGGGCAACTGGGAGGAAGTACTCTTATTCTCCATGGACTTTACAGTGTCCCAAAACTTTTTGGAGTTAGTGCTACAGGATGCAAATTTCTGTTTGAAAAAGTTTGCCTTTGCTTTCCTGACTGCTTGTGTATATTGGTTCCTAACTTCCCTGAAAAGTTGCATATCGCGGGGGCTATTTGATGCTAATGCAGTACGCCACAGGATGTTTTTGTGCTGGTCAAGGGCAGTCAAGTCTGAGGAGAACCAGGGGCTATATCGGTTCTTAGTTCTGTATTTTTTGAATGGGGCATGTTTATTTAAGATTGAGAGGAAATTACTTTTAAGGAACAACCAGGCATCCTCTACTGACGGAATGAGATCTATATCCATCCAGGATACCTGGGCCAGGTCAATTAGGAAGGCCTGCTCGCTAAACTCTTTGGGGACAGTGGATGTTCTATAATGAAAAATAGTAATGCACCTCAGCCTTCATACTGTGGGACTGGAAAAACACTGCTTCCTTGTGGCCGCACCTGAAAAGAGAGGGAAGAGATCAATGTTAGATTTATCTGGAAGTTTATTTTGAATTGATAGAGATGTTTGTGAATCGAAATAGTGTGGAGAAATTGCCTGATTTCAGAGAGCTAAAGGAGGAAGATAGAGAAAGAGGGTTTGTTTGTGTGTGTTTGTGTGAGTGTTGGCCACTCTCACTTTGGGCAGGGGTGATCCTCTGTCCGGGGTAGCGTTGGATCCTGGGACACATCTGCAATGATCTGTGTCAGCTCACTGAGGAGAGAAGAGACAGAGAGATGAGACAGAGATTACCTAATTGCCCATGACAGAGGTATATTTCTGTGTCTGAGCATAAGTGGTGGAAAATAGGGACCACTTACTCAACTTCGTGGGTGATCTTGTTGACATAGATGCAGCTGTTGTCTGCTTCTTGTTGATAGTCACAGTTCCTGCACTGTTGAGATACACACAGCCGAGTCAAAAATGGCTACTACATTCATGTATCATGCATTTACTTGTTTCAACAATTGATCGCTCAAACACTTCCAAACCAATAACGGTAGTGCATGAAACTAGCTAACTACTGTAAACCATTTGGAATGGGTATGAATGAACATCAGTCATCACACTTACTGCATAGAGCAGGATGCGATTCTCCTTGTCTTCTTTGGGATACAACATGTTGTTGCTAAAACAGAATGGAACAATTTTGTTATTTTGTATAACATTATAGCTAGGTAGGCTATCCTAGTCCTGTCAGAGAAGAATGATTGCGACTCAATTTCATAGCTACTAGTCTTTAGGTAGCAGCTAAATTAGCTGGCATAACGTTATCTAACGTTAGCTAGCTACAGTAACGTTTTGCATCTTCTAAATTAACTTATTTATAGCCATGCGCTCATACCATTCTTGACAAAATCGGATCCCAACGAATCCTGGTTCATATGTACCACCCTCGATATCCATTTGAAATAGTTTACAAATAAAAATCTACGAAATAATAGAATAATATAAAAACTTCAGGCTATCTAGATTGTTAGCTACGTTGCTGCCTCCCGCTTCCACGATGAAAACAAGACAGACGACGCACGCGCACAAAATATCATATAATTCGACTGCAGTTTATTAGTTGCAGCGCCCCCTGCTGTGGACGACTAAATAACACCCAACATTCATTTTTGTCATCCCGTGTTTATTATTCTCAGAAAAAAAAAAAATGTGTTATTGATGTTAACCGATACAATACATTGGCAATTTAATTACACCACTGATGAGTTGAAACCAAGTAAATGGGCACTGCATACATACATACCAGGACACCTTCTTAATATGCAATGAAGTTATTATGCCAAAAGAAACCCAACAAACACAGTGTCATTATCTTCAGTAGCAAAAATGTCATGTCTTGTAGGTCCCCACAGATTAACCCAAACCTGGTCTCTTTCAGTGAGCTCAATCACACTACCAATGCTGACTACCTGGCAACACTTGTCTGGCAGGCTGGTGTGGTATGCTGAGACAACCCGCTGGCCATTCTTTAAGATACTACACTGGGCGCGTCCGTAGGTGGACATATGCAGTGTGAAGTGGTACAAGCCAGCTAGCGGGCAGGTGAATTTTCCTGTGTGAGTACTATAGCCATCTCCCTCATTGACCAGGACGTTGGCAAACTTCAGGATACTGCTGTGAGTTGGGTAGCTGTCACAGATGTTTAGTTTGGCTGTGAAGGCTACAATCTTTCCTAGAATGGAAGAATGAACAGAGAGAGAAGGATAGAGAGTGAGCGAGACGGAGAGAGAGAGATCAGTCCAGGCCTAGGGCATTTGATACATACTCAAAGATTTGCTAATAAGATACGTACAAATTCTTCCATTTCACAGCAATTATGATGTTTAAATAAAGTAAAATGCAGATGCCATAAGATATACATGAAATACACTTATCATGTCAACTTTACAACAGTATACAAAAGAGTTAGAATGCCTACTTGGTTTGGGACTCTCTGGGCCACCACTGCCACCCTCGGTTGAATCAGGATTGGTGGGTTTGGGTTCTGTGTTCCAGAATACAATAGAGTTGTTTAGCTCTGTTTCACTGTAAAGATTTGTTAGTTACATTCATCATATGCCATATATAAATGCATTGGACTATTGCATACATACAGAGATCTAGGATCTATTGTATAAAAAGAAATATATGTACATTTCACATTTATTTTATTTTATTTAACCTTTATTTAACTAGGCAAGTCAGTTAAGAAGAAATTATTATTTACAATGACGACCTGCCAAAAGGCAAAAGGCCTCCTGCGGGGACTGGGTCTGGGATTACAAAAATAAATAAATATAAATATTGGACCAAACACACATCACAACAAGAGAGACAACACAACACCACATAAAGAGAGACCTAAGACAACAACATAGCATGGCAGCAACACATGACAACACAGTAAGGTAGCAACCCAACATGAAAACAACATGGTAGCAACACAACATGGCAGTAGCACAACATGGTAGCAGCACAAGACATGGTACACACATTATTGGGCACAGTCAACAGCACATCATAGGCCTCTGAAAATATAACTATGTAGGTGAACAAAGGATACATGACATTCATTTACAAAGATAACTTGCCCAACCAACCCGTGTTTCATTAGAAATGTAGTTAGGTATTTAGGTCACTATTGTGTGAAGGTTATTACCAGGCTTAAGGTTTCCATTGTTGTCTCCATGGCCAGGTTCAAAATCCATGACTATGTGCAACTACAGCTGATGATAAGTTTACTTCTGTAGAAAAGATAAATGCCTTGAAATGGAGTATAGGAAAATTAATTGTTGTTGTGTTAGAGAGTCATATGTCATTTTATTCACATGCATTAATTAACTAGCTGTTGTAATAAAAGGTGTCTGCATTATGAATGTTAAATTGGAAAGAAATCTCATCACATCAAATCTATTTTTTATGTATAGAACAGTAGTTCATTTTACCTGTGAACGTCTTGCAGAGGGGGGAAGTTCTAAATATTCGGACTGGTTTTACTACTTGGCTGCTTGCAGACAGACATGTAAAGGCGGGGCTAGTTTTCAAGGTGTGCAAGCTGTAACCAGAATGAAAGCTAGAATAAAACTATAAAGCTTTGAGATGATTCGCCTAAATTCCAAATAGATAATTAAGAGAAGAGGAGAATGTGGTGTGTTTGAAAAAAGGACAGTTGTAACAACTATATGCAATCACAACATGCACTGCATTTGCAAAGTGTGAGTGAAATAAACAGGAGTTGAACCTTTGGAAAAAGGTCAAGCAGGCGGAGCACAATGTACTCTGTCATCACCAACATTCTTGAGGTTATTTTCAGCAGTCAGCACTCCAATAACAATAACAGAGTTGTTGTTAGTGAGGGGGTTAAGTGTTGTTGATATTCAGAAAATGTGTTATGTCATTTGATGCAGGGACGATAAGGAGATTTTGGAGTTCCCAATCTATTTCATTGTACATTTTTATCAGAAATATATTGTCAAATTTCAACTTAAAGTAGTAGAACTCTGTCCCAAGTAAGTTAAAGGGAAGTGGACAAAAAAATGACTCAGACAGGAAGCATGAGACACTAAAACCCGCGACGCAGTTGACATCAGTTGCTTGGACTGCTAGTGCTACTCTGTCCAGTGATCCTGCCAACCAAGGCCTGGTATGAGCCAACTCAGTCTCTCATTAATTATGTACAAATGAGCACAATGTTTTTATGTACTATTAGCACAAACTCCATCAATGCCACGCCGCTTCTGAATCCCTTAACTCGATGCTTTGTCACGCCCTGGCTCTGGGGACACTGTTATGTTGAGCCAGGGTGTGTAATTCTATGTTTGTATTTCTATGTTGGCCTGAGTGACTCCCAATCAGAGGCAACGAGTGTCAGCTGGTTGTCTCTGATTGGGAGCCATATTTAACTGTCTGTCTTTCACTTTGTGTTTGTGGTTTCTTGTTCTTATTTGGTTTGTTTATGTAACCAGAGACATCACGTTTTCGTCTGTTATTTTGATCGTGTGATCATACCCTAATAAATAGAAATATGTTCACCTTCAACGCTGCGCATTGGTCCTCCTCCTTAGACGAGCGTGACAGAAGAAACCACCAGAACTGGACCAAGCAGCCTAGTGAGGAGTAGAGTGGGTGGACTTGGCAACAGTGGAGGAAGAGCTTCGACTGGGTCAAGCCGAATGAGGAGCTGAATGGCGGAGATTGGAAGCAGAAGAGCGAGAGTTGGGCGAGAATTATCGAGGCCTGGCCCACGGGGAAGAGAGACTCCCAGACATTTTTTAGGGGGGGGCTCACGACGTCGGACAAGCAGGAGGCCGCGATAGAGCGGCCCAGCGGGTTGCCAGAGGAGGCCGCCAGGTTACGGGGGCCACTGGTCGAAGAGGGGATGGAGGATGTAGAGGCACGGCGAGAGGTACTGGCGTGTGTTGCCAGTCCGGTCCGGCCCGTTCCAGATCCCGGTGTAGGGCCAGTGGTGTGTGTCCCCAGTACGGTCCGGTCTGTTCCTGCTCCCCGCACCAAGTCTGTGGTGCGTTTCGTCAGCCCTGTCCGGCCCGTTCCTGCTCTCCGCACCAAGCCGGTGGTGTGCGTCGTCAGCCCAGTCCGGCCCATTCCTGCTCCCCGCACCAAGCCAGTGGTGTGCGTCGTCGGTCCGGCACGGCCCGTGCCTGTTCCACTGGTGCCTGGTCCGGCACCGGTCAGATGCGTTACGCCGGAGCTAGAGCAATCCGCCCTATCAGTGTGCAGTCCAGCTCCGGCCAGCGGGGCCAGACCGGACCAGGGGTACTTTGGGGGGTTGGAGAGGGAGTGGGGATCAGGCCCGGAGCCGGATCCGCCGCCAAGGCGGAGTGCCCACCCGGTCCCTCCCCTGTGGTATTTAGTTGGCGCGGTCGGAGGCCTTTAGGGGGGGGTACTGTCACGCCCTGGCTCTGGGGACACTGTTATGTTGAGCCAGGGTGTGTAATTCTATGTTTGTATTTCTATGTTGGCCTGAGTGACTCCCAATCAGAGGCAACGAGTGTCAGCTGGTTGTCTCTGATTGGGAGCCATATTTAACTGTCTGTCTTTCACTTTGTGTTTGTGGTTTCTTGTTCTTATTTGGTTTGTTTATGTAACCAGAGACATCACGTTTTCGTCTGTTATTTTGATCGTGTGATCATACCCTAATAAATAGAAATATGTTCACCTTCAACGCTGCGCATTGGTCCTCCTCCTTAGACGAGCGTGACATGCTTATTTGCTAATTTGGACGTAGCTAGCTATTTTAAAGTGAAAGCGAGGTAAATTATCAGATAAGAAATGATAGATAATCTAGTAGTTTCTGTATTTCGGCCCGCATAATTATAGACTTATTTTAATTAGATATGTGTAGTGCATTATAATCTTGTACACTGGAAGTGATCTTTATTCACTTTGGCCAACATTGACAAAATGTAAAGTTAGCTTGCTGCTTCCCGGGAGTGTGTAGGCCTTTTAGCGAGCTGTTTAAAAATATACTCGCTGTTGTCATCATACTGTAAGCACATGGAAATACCTTTTAGTGAATTATTTTTTTATTTCAGACTCATGATTTAAGTGGCGGGCTGTGAGTCTTCAAGCAACAGTGAAGCATGCATGAGAGCATCAGCTGTTCCGGATAACTATATGATCACGCTCTCCGTAGCCGATGTGAGTAAGACTTTTAAGCAGGTCAACATTCACAAGGCCGCAGGGCCAGACGGATTACCAGGACATGTACTCTGAGCATGCGCTGACCAACTGGCAAGTGTCTTCACTGACATTTTCAACATGTCCCTGACTGAGTCTGTAATACCAACATGTTTCAAGCAGACCACCATAGTGCCTGTGCCCAAGAACAATATGATAACCTGCCTAAATGACTACCAACCCGTAGCACTCACGTCTGTAGCCTTGAAGTGCTTTGAAAGGCTGGTCATGGCTCACATCAACACCATTATCTCAGAAACCCTAGACCCACTCCAATTTGCATACCGCCTCAACAGATCCACAGATGATGCAATCTCTATTGCACTCCACCCTGCCCTTTCCCACCTGGACAAGAGGAACACCTACGTGAGAATGCTATTCATTGACTACAGCTCAGCGTTCAACACCATAGTGCCCTCAAAGCTCATCACTAAGCTAAGGACCCTGGGACTAAACACCTCCCTCTGCAACTGGATCCTGGACTTCCTGATGGGCCGCCCCCAGGTGGTAAGGGTAGGTAACAACACATCTGCCACGCTGATCCTCAACACAGGGGCCCCTCAGGGGTGCGTGCTCAGTCCCCTCCTGTACTCCCTGTTCACCCATGACTGCATGGCCAGGCACGACTCCAACACCATCATTAAGTTTGTTGACGACACAACAGTCGAAGGTCTGATCACCGACAACGATGAGACAGCCTATAGAGACGAGGTCAGAGACCTGGCCGTGTGGTGTCAGGATAACAACCTCTCCCTCAACGTAATCAAGACAAAGGAGATGATTGTGGACTACAGGAAAAAAAGAGGACTGAGCACGCCCCCATTCTCATCGATGGGGCTGTAGTGGAACAGGTTGAGAGCTTCAAGTTCCTTGGTGTCCACATCACCAACAAACTATCATGGTCCAAACACAGCAAGACAGTTGTGAAGAGGGCACGACAAAGCCTATTCCCCCTGAGGAGACTGAAAAGATTTAGCATGGGTCCTCAGATCCTCAAAAAGTTCTACAGCTGCACCATCGAGAGCATCCTGACTGGTTGCATCACCGCCTGGTATGGCAACTGCTTGGCCTCCGATCGCAAGGCACTACAGAAGGTAGTGCGTACGGCCCAGTACATCACTGGGGCCAAGCTTCCTGCCATCCAGGACCTCTATACCAGGCGGTGTCAGAGGAAATCCCCCAAAATTGTCAATACTCCAGCCACCTTAGTCATAGACTGTTCTCTCTGCTACCGCACGGCAAGCGGTACCGGAGCACCAAGTCTAGGTCCAAAAGGCTTCTTAACAGCTTCTACCCTCAAGCCATAAGACTCCTGAACAGCTAATCATGGCTACCCGGACTACTTGCATCTATTTTTTGCTAACAATTGTCTTAAAAACTGCATTGTTGGTTAAGAGCTTGTAAGTAAGCATTTCATTGTATGGTCTACACCTGTTGTATTCGGCGCATGTGGCAAATACAATTTGATTTGATTTGATTGTAATGGTTTCAGAATATATCATCGATTTTCAGAAATTGATGTCAGATTTAACAGTACAAATTTAGTCGTTCCTGCGTTTTGCATTTGTAGGGCAGAAGTGGGAGTCTAATAATCATATATTACTATCAATACTGTATATAGCAACTATACAATAAAATATAGGCCTACAAGATTGTACAATCATGGAGGAACCCAGTCTAAGTAGGCTACCCCTCAAGTATGGTAATATAAATAAATAAGATAACTATTGCATTAGGTAAAACGGACCTCCTAAATCTTTCTATTGAGCACTTTGGCATTATAAGCCCGTTGTTAAAAGTACTCCTAGGGTCATTGGAAGTACTATACAGATATCCATTTTCTGTCTGGTTCTCTGCTCTGTCATGACCATCCTGAGAGTCTGGAGTCAGGCCAATAACTAACTCCAATAACTGAATCAGCCTTCTTAATCAGTTTATTGACCTTGTTCCTGATGTGGACAATTTAATATCCAAAATAACCCTCTACTACCTTATTCTGGAATTATGATTCACATAATATGACATGATGGTATGAGTATGATATTAAACAAGCCCAGGTCCTCACCACCTCTAGGGACCTGTCAGAGGAGGAGACGGTGGCTCACACTGCCCTTAGATTTGTGTTTGAGAAGTTACTCTACTGTAAGTATACTTGATTAATATGCTTGTTTCATGACATAGACTGACCAGGCGAATCCAGGTGAAAGCTATGATCCCTTATTGATGTCACCTGTTAAATTCACTTCAATCAGTGTAGATGAAGGGGAGGAGACAGGTTAAA